CCAAACTATAAAATTATGTTGATAATACTGGTTGGTTTAGCAGAAATTGTTTGCCTCCAATTATAGCTAGACCATTGATTATGAGAACAAATCTCTCAAATAAAATTTTGATATGAGATGAGTTTATTTAACGTGTATGCATTAAGCCAACAAGTTTTTCCCATCACAATTGGTTCAGGGTCAAGAACCAAATAATTTTCATCTAAAAATTTGATGTGTGCACATATGATTTTATTGCTCCACCACACACAAAGATGGATCCCCAAATGAGGTTGGGGGTAAATGTTAGATTTCCTAACATTAGGGGGAGATATGTTTAGCAGCTGAAAATTATGTGTGGGGTGAATTATCTAGAACCTCGTTAAGAAAAAATATGAACTTGAAGTTCAAGAGATAATTCATTTGCAAAATGTTGCAAATAATTTGCCAGATGTATTTGTTGACCCAATTATATTTTAATTAAGCTGCAAATGCTCCAATAAATAGTCCTTGAAGGACAGAGTCTATGATACTCCAGAAGCGTGATAGACCAATCGATTCCAAACATAAAACTTCTTGAAGAACGAAAGGAGCAAATTATCAAAATGGTCATGATAATGAGGTAAGTGCTTTTAAAGAGCACTATGACATAACACTTCATAAAACCCTGGCAAAGATTCAGGTACCTGAAAATGATGAAAAATGAAGAGATCTCGATAAGTTATGTCGTATTGAAATTGATATCAAAATGATCGTCGACGATATCTTTGATATGAAGTAGCACTCAATGCTATAAATGTTACGAGGATCTTAAATTCGAATTTGTCATATAGTGTGGACAGATAAATTATTGGAACTATTCAAGTATATTTTGTTTCACTTAGAAAAGTGATGTTTTTGATCTTATAGTTCATGGATCAAAATATAATGTCAGTGTGGTACAAATGAATAATTGTGTGAAGTATAACCGTAAGATATAAAGTGTAGTTTGTCCCTCGAGGCATAAAGGGTTTTCGCAAAAAAATTGACATTATTAAATAGAGATATACTCTCCAGTGGTGGATGGAATGAGAATTGTTTCAGTCTGACAATAAATGAAATACTTGAATATGCATAATGAGTGATTATTATGTCTAACTAGACATGAAGGTTATATGAAAATCCTTGAAGGATTTAAAAGGTCTTAAAGCAATTCCATTGAGTACCCAATGATTTTGAGACTGCTTAACACAGAGAAAAAATAATTTTGATCTCATGAAAATAATTTAAAATGTCATGTATTAGTGCAATTGGTGTACTTACAGATTGTTGGTTATGCAAATGCTAGAAGATTATTTGATATACATAACGAAAGTTATGTGAAAGGATTGTCATATTATCATTCAAGTAATGACAACAAATTAACAAAGCAAGTGACTCAACACATAGAAAATGTGTGATTTTCTTTCGGAAGAAAAGGCAAGCTTCAATAAAATTGAAATGATCAATCCCCGAGTCATAAATGATTTGATTATGTAGATGCATAATATTTATTTGATCTGCATAAAGCTCGATCGCAAATGAACTATTATTTACATATGGAGACACAACAATATCTTGAAAATTCAAAGAATCACATTAGTAACCATTTGTTCAAATCATGCAGAAATAATATTGATGTATGAATTAAGTCGAGAGTGTGTTTGTTTGGAATCGTGATCTATCATATTCAGAAAATGTGTGATTTTCTTTTGAAAAGGATATTTCAGCCACCATATACGAAAATAATAGATAGTTCAATTGAAGGGAGGATACAATCAAAGGAGATCGAACAAATCATATTTCACCAAAAGTCTTTTTCACACATGATCTTCAACAAAATGGTGAGATTGACGTTCAAAGACCCACTCAAGTGATAATCTTGTAAACTTATTCACTAAGGTTGCCAACATCAATATTTGAGAAGTTGTGATATAAGATTGGAATGCATCGTCTCCGAGATATCAAGTAAAGTTTTTATCAAAAGGAGAAAACTACGCGTTGTATTCTTTTCCTTAACCATGATTTTATTCCAATTGAATTTTCCCGGTAAGGTTTTTAACGAGACAACATTCAAAGCGTATTAAAAGATATGTGTACTCTTTTTCCTTCACTAGAATTTTTTCCCACATGTTTTTTCCTAGTAAGGTTTTAACGAGGCATATTATCTATGGACATCCAAAGGGGAGTGTTATAAAATATTATAGTGTGAATGTCCATTACACCAAGAAGTTACTCTTACCCATTATCTCTATTACTTTCCTCAATTATGAAGATAATCATAACCTTCATAACCTCCAACTTTATAACCATTATTCTTGTAACATTTCACTTGCATAACCTCATCCATTATATTCATGTTAATATCATGTTTATGACTAACCTTTTGTATGCCTCTATGTTACACTATAAATAGAGACATAAGAGTTCATATTGTATACACTCGAAGACTTGGAATAATAAGAAAAGCTCTCATCTCTTGTCTCCCTATTTCTATTGCTTTAATTTTCTATATTTCTTGTCTTATTTTGCTTTAGTTTTACAACATAAATTTGATTTTTTTATTGTTTTAAATTACTAAATTCTAGATTAAAAATTCAAAATTTAGACTAAAATTACCCAATTCGCATAGACTCGTAATCCACAAGACAAAAAGGTTAGAAAAAACATAATACACGGTCAAGGGCAGGATCTAAGCCTATTAGAATGTATTAGAGTGTATGTGTGTGTAATGCAAGAAAATTATGTAACGACAAATCCATACCAAAAAATATATAAATCGACAAATTAAGCGAAATATTAAAAGTCAAAATGCTCCTAAATAAAATATTATTGAGTACATATGATCCACAAGTTTTTGCTTGCTACCAGTCTGCTGATTTCATAATTGATTATTTTTTAAAAGGTTACAATATTCAGTGAGTTGGTAGAACCAGCAAATGGAGGAGAGAAGAAAGGAGGTGTAGAAAAAAAGATAAAGCTATAAGGATTAAATGGTCTATATTATAATATCAATGGGGTGATTAGGATAGCTCTAAATTATTAGTGCATCTTCATCTCATTTTATTATATATAAAAAAAAATGTCTTGATCAATAGGTCGGGTTGTAAATAAGTTGAGTTTAATTAAATGTGGACTAATAAAATAATAGTACCATATATTTTGTTAGAAAATGCACCTACTTTGGATTATTTCTTCATTAAAAGAAAAGGCAGACTTTCTGATGGTGTTTGAATTAAATTTTTTTTAGATATTTTTATTATTTTTAAACACTTTTTAATTTTTAGAGGTCTTCAACAAAGACACAAAGTACTTAAAAACACTTTACTTTAGATTTAAAAAGATACTTTTGGCTTTTAATTTTTAATTCACATTAAAAAAGCTTATTCAAAAACTCCCCTTTTAAGTTTAAATTTAGAAAAAATACATAATAACCCCCATTGAACTTATACCATTTTTTAAAGTAGACACCTTAAGTTTGTGAAAGTCCTATTACCCCACGAAATTATTTTCAACCAGAATAAATACACCATATTTACAGCATCTACAATCTCATTGTCAGGGAGTGTGTCTCACCTCAAATAAAATAATGTAACTTTATTTTTTCCAGGTTCTTTAATAAAGGGTCGGGTAAAACCTAGACTCGTTCAAAATCTTGACAAATTCCCTTTTTTATCTTAAACATTTTGTACTAAATCACGATGAAGAAGAGCATTCTTGATTACTAGAGAATTTTAGAAACTCCATTACATATGTTTGTAGAACTTTAACAGTGTGGATAGAAGAAGCTCCATCATTGGAGAATTCATAGTGACAGCTCTAATGGCATCTTCTTTGTTTATGGGTACACAAGAATGTGATCAAGTTAAGTAAACAATACGAGCTCAATGTTATCAAAACATCTTCGAAGAAGTAGGGAACGAACGGATGCATTTCATGACCTTCATCGATCTATCTGTTATCAAACCCTAAATGGTACGAACGTGCATTAGTCTTTGCAGTTCAAGGTGTATTCTTCAACTCATTCATATTCGGCATCCCCAAAATTAGCTAATCAGATTGTTGGGTACTTAGAGAAAAAAGCAGTGAATTTGTAAACTGATCTGTGTTTGAGAACTCGCCAACTCTAGAGTTTTTTTGTTAATATAGAAAAGGGACTTTTTGAGAATTCGCCAACTCCAGAAGTTCATATGACATCTCACGTGGGTTTATATATCAAACTATTGAATTGACATAAGAGATTATTATTTTTTTTGGCTGCACATGGAGAGCTCTTCAATGGCCATCAATGGAGGTTTGTGGAAGATGGAAGGTGGTCTATTTAATAAAGAAATCAAATTTTAAATTGGTGATGCTACGTGGCACTAAAACACTGGTTTAGGGATTAATTTCTACTCTTTCACGCGCCTCTCAAACTTGAGATTGCACATACTCTGAAAATGGGTTAAAAGAGTGTATTTATTATGGTTAAAAAAAGTTTCGTGGGGTAATAGGACTGCAAACTTAAGGTGTCCACTTCAAAAAATGGTATAAGTTCGATGGGATAATTATGTATTTTCTCTTAAATTCAAGTCAAAAGTAATTAATACAGTGTTTGTTTTGATTGTTAGTAAAATTTTATGGTATCGTATCGTTTAAATCTATCGTTACCTAAAAAGACCTATTTTATGGAATGACCGATTTGGTGTGGTCGCGTCATTACCTTAATAATTTCTTATCATTTTATCTTTATTTATTATTTAATAATTATATTTCATCTTTTACCCTACTTTTTCACAATATCTCTACCATGTACTCTACTTTTCTTGTAGGTTTATCATTTCAAATAATGAATATGTGACATTATGTAACGATTCTTGTAGGTTTATCATTTTAAATAACGGATATATAACATTATGTAACGACAAAAAATTATACAATCTATTCAGGCATTGTATTCATTAAAACAATACAATACGATATATCATGAAATAACACAATCATGCAAACAAAGTGTTAAGGATAATTGCAATAGGAGAGAGCAAGATGATTGCACCAAGATAACACTAGTTAATTTGAAGATTGCAAATCCAAAAATTATATGAGACAAAGTATGCAATTCTAAACATGATATGAACAAATTAATTTTCCTAATGAAAATTTTATGTTCATACTAGCAGTATCACCATATGTCTGTGCAACTTCATCGCACGATTCAAACCTTTGCAAGTTCTATCATACGAAAGCCAAAATGTTCTTTACTTGACAAAAATAAAAAATTGAATGAGTTGTCAAAACTGGGCCAAACTGATGAAGCACGAAAGATGTTTGATAAAATGCCTGAGAAAGACGAGTTTACATGGACTACAATGGTTGCGGCATATGGCAATGGAGGGAGGCTTGTTGAAGCAAGGCAAGTGTTCGAGGAGATCCCAATTAAGAGTTCAATTACTTGGTCTTCTCTTATTTGTGGATACTGTAAGCATGGTTTTGAAATTGAAGGATTTGAATTTTTTTGGCAAATGCAAAGTGAGGGGCATAGGCCTAGTCAGTTTACATTGGCAAGTATTTTGAGAATGTGCGCGATAAAAGGTTTGCTCTCGAGAGGTGAACAGATACATGGATATGCTATTAAGACTTGTTTTGATATGAATGTTTTTGTAATGACTGGACTTATTGATATGTATGCGAAGTCTAAGCGTGTCTTGGAGGCTGAGTGTATTTTCCAAATTATGTCTCATGGGAAAAATCACGTTACTTGGACTGCTATGATTAATGGGTATTCTCAAAATGGTGATGCATTAAGAGCAATTCAGTGTTTTAGCAGCATGCGTGCAGAAGGGATTGAGGCGAACCAGTATACATTTCCAGGTGTTTTGAGTTCATGTGCTGCACTCTCTGATATTAGATTTGGGGTGCAGGTACATGGTTGTATTGTTAATGGTGGTTTTGAGGCCAACGTGTTTGTTCAAAGCTCGTTAATCGACATGTATTCTAAATGTGGAGATTTGGACAGTGCTAAGAAGGCATTGGAACTGATGGAGGTAAATCATGCAGTTTCTTGGAATACCATGATACTTGGGTATGTGAGGAATGGATTTCCAGAGGAGGCACTGTCTCTGTTCAAAAAGATGTATGCTAGTGATATGGAAGTGGATGAGTTTACGTATCCTTCGGTTCTGAATTCCCTTGCTTGTATGCAGGATCCCAAAAATGGGAAATGTCTTCATTGCTTGGTTGTTAAAACTGGATATGAGAGCTACAAGCTTGTTAGTAATGCACTTATTGATATGTATGCCAAACAGGGAGACCTAGCTTGTGCGATTAATGTTTTCAACAGCATGGTTGAGAAGGATGTAATCTCATGGACATCACTTGTCACTGGTTGTGCTCACAATGGCTTTTATGAAGAAGCTCTGAAATTATTCTATGAGATGAGAACGGCTGAAATTAAACCAGACCCAATTATCATTGCTAGTGTTCTAAGTTCTTGCTCAGAGTTGGCACTACATGAACTTGGGCAGCAAGTTCATGCGGATTTTATTAAATCTGGCCTTGAGGCATCATTATCAGTTGATAATTCTCTTATGACAATGTATGCCAATTGTGGGTGCCTTGAAGATGCCAAAAAAATATTCATCTCAATGCAAATGCATAATGTGATCAGTTGGACTGCTCTCATAGTGGCTTATGCCCAGAATGGCAAAGGAAAGGAGTCTCTGAGATTTTTTGACGAGATGATTGCGAGTGGAATAGAACCTGACTTTATTACATTTATAGGCCTGTTGTTTGCTTGCAGCCATACAGGCCTTGTTGACGATGGAAAGAAGTACTTCGCTTCAATGAAGAAAGATTATGGGATAAAACCAAGCCCTGATCACTATGCATGTATGATCGATCTTTTGGGCCGTGCGGGGAAAATACAGGAGGCTGAGAAGTTAGTTAATGAAATGGATATTGAACCTGATGCTACTGTGTGGAAAGCATTGCTTGCTGCATGTAGAGTACATGGGAACACAGATCTAGCAGAGAAAGCTTCAATGGCCCTCTTTCAGCTGGAACCACAAGATGCTGTCCCTTATGTTATGTTGTCAAATATCTATTCTGCTGCTGGAAAATGGGAAAATGCAGCAAAACTTAGAAGAAAAATGAATTCGAAGGGTTTAAACAAAGAGCCTGGTTATAGTTGGATTGAGATGAATGGAGTGGTGCACACATTTATATCTGAGGAAAGAAGTCATTCAAAGAGTGATGAAATTTACTCAAAACTTGAGGATGTTATTGCATTGATAAAGGAAGCTGGATATGTGCCAGACACAATTTTTTCTCTCCATGATATCAATGAAGAAGGAAGGGAACAAAGTCTTTCCTATCACAGTGAGAAATTGGCTATTGCTTTTGGGCTTCTTTATGTGCCAAAAGGAGTACCAATTCGGATTTACAAGAACCTTCGTGTATGTGGTGACTGCCATAATGCAATGAAATTCGTGTCAAGAGTGTTTGATCGACATATTATTTTGCGAGATTCAAATTGTTTTCATCATTTTAAGGAAGGGATATGTTCTTGTGGGGATTATTGGTAGAAAACACTCCTTTAATTTTTTGTGGCTCTTGTTTCCTTTGCGCTTGGAAAGATAAGAACATTCAATTTTATTGATTGGGTTTGCAGCTCAATCCAAGGTTTACAGTTCACATCTGTATATTACTAACTGCTAACAATGCAGATCATTTATTGGAAAATGGAAACTAAAAGTTAAAGTTTTATGCAGCTCAATGTGAATGATAAGATTTATTGAAATTGATTGCTCTCTGAGACTTATAAGAGAGTCGATCCCTTGTCCTTATTTCGCAGCAATCTCCCACGGCAGGCACCAATTGCCACTCCCCGGCATCAGGGAGATAACTTGTCCTCATTCTGAGAAATATTTTTGACTCCGTGAAGGCAGGGTCCGATGATCCTGAAGAAAGCTTCGTTCTACATGATTATGTGACGAGTTTTCCTACACAGGTGTGAAACCATCTTCAGAATCTTTTAACAATAATTTTGCTTGGAGTTAATGTTTTTTCATAATTCCTGATATCTTCTCTGCAGTTAAAGTTGGGAGTATATCCTTTTCAGTCGACAAATTACCCAACCAGAATAGGGACCTGAATGTTCATGCCATAGATAAGTCCATGCTAGTACTTCTGTCTTGTGAAAATCTGTGTGTTGCCTTGAGAGTAAAGATAGACATTAATCCAATGCAAAACCAATATGTCGTTGTCTTAGGTAGTTTACTGTTGTTTATATGGCATGCAAAGTTAATCCTAAAAGAAAGGTAAAGTAAAGGTGTAGGTGCATGCTAGCTTATAGTATAATGTTCTGAAGGCAAAGATGTTTTTACTTTTTGATTTAAACTAATGGATTTTCTTTGATTCCGTCGCCTTCCCTAATAGCAAGATTTGGGAAGTCCTCATAAATGAAAAAGATGGTTAATAATGTCATTTCTGGGGTGTGGGTGGGGTAATTTTCCTGAAGTGAGTGTGATACTGTTGTACCTGTTGCTTGGGATCCTAAGTTTCCTCATTCTCTTCCTTTTTGTTTATGCTAAATGCTGTGGATTCGATGATGCTGATCCTTTTAGTTGTATTGCCATGTGAAAAAATGTTTTTGCTTCTGACGGTTCATGCTCTTCTAATTTACTGATTCTCCTGAAAGTAGAGTCCTGTAGTGAAGTGTCCTTATAACTCTACAGGTTCTTGCTAGCTGTTTGGTGTTAATAAAGAAAAATTTGATGGAAAATAGCATTCATTGAACAATGGTTTTTATGAAAGAAGAAATATCAGCTGGCAGTGATAAATGGATGAAATCTTCGTAAGATTGAGGGTATTCTGTGTACTTTCAAAAAGAAGCATGTGATGCAATTTTGAGGGTAAATACACTTATTTGTAAAACTAAATTGTGTATGGAATTATATTCCTTTGGAGTTTGAAAGGTAAAAAGTAAGTGGGTCACTGTTTACAAGATTAAGATCTAAAAGATGAATCATATGTTTTAGCAAAAAACTCAGTGTCTTTTTGCTTGATATCATTAGATCAAACATAAAAATTACTGGGGCCTTAAGTAGGTGTGCACCGCCAGCTTTATGACTCTTCAGCAGTGCAAAATTATACAATGACAATCTCTTGAATGGGAAATTCCAATCTTCTCGTTTGCCCTTTCTTTCCAAGGATGCCTGTGTTTTTTTCTAGATGAAGTGGATGGTGGTTATATTTCAGAAGTCTAGATAGCTTACTTTCATATTTATATTTCTCTTAATGTCTTGTCAATGAATTGGTTGATGTTCTGATTTTGAATGAACGCTATCAAGTTCGTTCACAAATTTCTTATTCTTATGCAAAAGTATAAGAACTTCTGCAATTTCTTGTTCCTCTATGTAAAAGTTTGATAACTTTACTTTTGCTTACAGGAACTTGTTGCTTTCCCACCTTGCAAGCATATGGTAACGTGGATAATATTTCATAAACCCGTGCTCATTGCCTGCCTTCGGTTTTCTGGGGGGCCTCAGTCCCAGTCTTTATTGTGAGCATATGACAAGAGCATAATATTTCATAAAGCCTATTGTTCATTGCCTGCCTTAGGTTGTATGGACCAGAAGAAACGCACATGTTATTGAATAGAGTATGTTCATCATTCCCAAGTCCTCTATGACAACAGAGCCCTTTCCATTGAAGTCAATGAGCCTTTCCTATTATGGGAGCAAGCATGGTACCATACCTACACACATTTCTTGGTACCATCCCCTATGGAGTGGATGAAAACGAAACACAAAAAAGCTGATAATGTTCTCGATGGAGGCAGTAATTAGCGATCAGGATCTCCAACAAGACTATGGGACAGGTTTGAAAGGCACATTCTCTTTTGTTTGATCCGGGATACTCAACTTGTTGCTTGGCAAGAGACTTAAAAATAGGTTCACAAAAAATAAGTTAAAAGTAAAAAACAAGTCTATTGATAGATTGATTAGAATGTCATAATATCGTTGTTGTGATGGTTATATCTGTGATGGTGTACTCTCATTTTATAGATCAAATAGGTGTCTGTTACCAATTCATAATCCATCTATACCACATGCCTAGTACTTTGTGCAGTTGTCAATAAGTAGACCTATCTTGATTGTCCTTATTTATTGAATAGAGATGTAATCTCCCTGGTTCAAATTAGCTGTGATCACAGGACCACAAAATTGTACTTATTTAGGTGCTGATTTTTATAAGAGAGATTGTACTTGATGTTAGCTAGTGTTTTGAATCTCCTATTGATGGCTACGATTGATCTTAAATTGATGGATGAGAGAACTGTATCCAAAAGGCAGATGATTTGTTAATTTGTTTTTAATGCTCAAATTAAGTTACGTTGCCCTCTTTCATCTAAAGAATGTGGCTTGGCATTCAATGAAGTGAAAAAATCTTACAAAAAGCAAGAAAATGTCAACTGATTCTTTCAACATTTGCCTACAGCTTTGTGGAAAGAGAAGTTACCAAGTATATGTGCAAAATGAAACTGGTTGATACTTGATGAATTATTCAAGATGTGCGAAAATAAAATCCTTATAGTTTTGGTCAATTCCCGGTATCATTCCATTATATTCTTATAGTAATAACATAGGTGGTTAATTTTCAAAAATGGGTAAATTCTAGGACTCTATTAGACAGCCAATAAATGATCTTCCTTTTTCTTCTTGTCATTGCTGGAAGTGCTTCACATGGTAGATTTCAACAATTAACTTAATATGAATATAATCAGCATGATGCAATTTCACATTTCTTTAGGACAACCAGAAGACATGAAATGTTATACTTTAATGAATATAAAACTCCTAATAATTCATCTATAACTCCAAGTTTGGGAGCACTCATTAATCTCTTGAATACCCCTCAAACTAGATATTGCTTGCTACAAGGTATAAATTAACAGATGAAAACTCTCATCTAAAACTACGGGGGTACTGAACATAGTATGTTTATAAAGACCAACTAGCAAGTAACTAGCTCCCACGTTCTGATGTTGTATTCCATCAAATATTACTCAGGCCAAGAAAGCAGCGGCATTTGCTGGAGCCACATAACGCTGATTAGGCAACTAAACCTCTCAAGAAAAACCCATTTACAAAGCCTAAGCAGCTGTCTTCACAAAATTCACTTGCGCAAGTGTTCAGGAATAAGGCGCTTTCGCAGTTCAGCGGGCACACCAGAGAGCTCTGTATAAGACAATAGACAAATCAGATTTAAGTATCAAATCATGTGAAAATAAAAGGAAAAACTAAACTGAAGCTCACCTTGAGGTGTAAAGTTGAATAGGGGAGGCAGAGGTCGTCCATTTGGCAAGCAAGCATTTGGTTCTCTTAAAGAATCAAAGAAAGGGTGTGCACATGCTTCCAACTGTCAATAAACACAAAATGCTCTCAACATCAACGGAAAACAGATATCAAGTGCGTTTAAAGGATGATACCACTTACGGACAACAACTTAGTAAGACTATGTAGAGCCATTAATTCTCCACAAAACAGAATGTTATTTCAACATACATTCTGTAGTTTTCTATTTTTGAACTTTATAAGCATGACAGGAGATCACATTGAAGTGCTAAAAGCACAATCAATGAGAACTCGCATATTGAAAGATGACAAAAATGGAACACCATGTTTGAATGATGGGTAAAATGGGAAACTACCAGAATATCCTAAATTCTTGATAATTAAGAAGAAAATTCTGTACTTACAGCAGTACAGCGTAGAGTTGGAGAATATTGGAGAAGCCTTGACACCAAATCTACTGCTTCAGGGGGCATTCTTTTATGAAATATCTGCAGATTGCAATCTCATTAAGATTTGGTATGCTTGCTTTGTGTTTTGGCATGGGGTTCGTGCTATTTGAATGGACAGTTTTCAACAAACTTCATCAAGGAAATGACAAGGGAAGGATGGAAAGAATTTAACTACTAGTGAAGCAGCCACATCCACCGAAGAAGTTTTCACTAACCTTGTGCCATGGGTGAGCTTTGATCTGGGGAAACTTGAACTCTGTGTAGTTTGGGTTCATGCACCTAATCTCCTCCCTAGTTGGTGTCCCCAATATCTGGCAAGCACAAAGTATACCAAAACGGTTAGCAAGAGAAAGAAACCAATTTGACAAGAGAAAAACCACCCGACGTAAACTATTAAGAGAGTCCCTTGATTGCACACCTTGATGATTTCGACCAGCTGATCAACGCCACTTTCTCCAGGGAAAAGAGGCTGCAGATAATAGATACAGCACTAAAATGTCAGACACTAGTGGATATTAGTTCTTTGAATCTTCTACATAAGAAAATTGGATTGCACAGAAGGATTAATTATAAGTATCAACTAACCTGTCCCAAAAGTAGCTCAGCCATAACGCAACCAGCAGACCACATGTCAATTGCACTTGTGTACTCAGTAGCACCAAAGATCAATTCAGGAGCCCGGTAATAACGAGAACAAATGTATGATATGTTGGGCTCTCCAGGCACCTAGAAAAACAAAGGCTAAAATATTAGGGACTGCTTAATTGTGAAGGGAAAAAAGAATTCTTCTTTAAAAAAGAAGCACCACGTACCAACATCTTTGCACTACCAAAATCACAGAGCTTTAGCTGATGCGAGTGGGGATTAACCTTCAGAAGTTAAATAAAGCATCAAATAGTCAGGGCACATAGAGGAGAATGGTGAAGAGAGAAGATATAACTCCACTTAACCACACTACAGGGGTTACTCAAAATATTTCAAGTCATTTTCGCATGCAAATGGAAGATCTAAAAGCAATAAGCATATTATGAGGGAAAATTGAGTGCTCACCAAAAGATTCTGTGGTTTAATATCACGATGGCATACACCAAGGACACCGTGCATGTAATTCAGGGCCCGGCAGATCTGTAAAATTATAATTTAGAGAAAATTCATTATTCTGTGCTCAAGATAATTTACAAGACAAGAAATTAAAGTTGTTATGATTTGAAATTCCGCAATCTTGATGAGAAAAATGAAGAATCCTGCAATAAGCTCACCTGGTATGTGTATAGCTGCACATATATATTGGGCATGTGTTGGTTCATTTTGCTGTAGTGCCTTGAAACTCTGTAAACAGTTTCAGACACGTATTCCAGGACAAGGTTAAGGTAGACTTCATTCTTCTCAGTAGTAGAATAGAAGCAGTGTCGTAGTTTAACAACATTAGGATGATCAAGTGTGCGCATAATCTGAAGTTCCCTGTTCTTGTATCTCCTATCCTGTAAAACCTTCTTTATTGCTACAGATTCACCAGTTTCCAAGCACTTAGCCTGTGAAATAGAAAAGGTGATAAAAAAATCAATAAAAGTCATCCAGACAACGGCAATGCTAACATTAACAATAGACATTAGATAAACATACAACTATACCTGAAAGACAACTCCAAATGAACCAGTGCCAACCACGCGCTCCGCCATGTAAGACAATGTCTGTGAAAATAGCATGAGGTCAACATCGGCTTGAGCTAAGTTTAAGCCTATAAGACCATATTGGGGGTAAAGAGAAATTAAATTTCATTCAACTAGTTCACCTGTTTCTCTAGTCCATTCCTACCACTCACAGTAGTCACAATAATCTGACCAGTTTCTGTTCCATTTCCACTAACAACAGCAGGTTCCATATCCTATGGGATGCAAGATAGATCAATAACCCTTATTCCAGAATTTAAAGACAGCTACTTTACATACTAAATTAGACATAAAAGAGTTAAAACTTTGGGTATACCTTCAAATTATCCTCTAGACTATCAGCTTTATCAGCCTTTTCATCCTTAATTTTCATTTCATGCATTTCTTTAGGAAGCTCATCAAGTTCAGAATTTTCAGGTCTAGTATCCATTGCTGATGTACTTCTAGCAGTGGTTTCCTTAGATGTAGAAGCCATGTCTTCCTTTGGAACTGTAGTAGTTGTACATCTCTCTTCCATTTGAGTTTCACCAACCACTCTTTGATCTACTTCTTTCTCAACCTTCACCCTCTTTATGCTTGAATCACCACCCTATTAAAAATCAGTAACAAATCATACTCTTTTCATGAATTACTGATAAATCTAATCAAAATACAACAAACAAAAAGCAAGCTACAAGTTTCCATTATAACTCCCATCACTGCATTACAAGTCCATACTACATACTATCAAAATCTAGAACACAACAAGCAGATATTAACAGTCCTCACCTAACCCAGTCCCAAGCCAAAAGAAACTTGTTAAAATTGATAGTCACATGAGTAAATGATCCATCAAATAGCATCTACCTTCTTTAAAGCCAAGACTCTGTAAAGCCTCACTTTTTAAGCCTAACTCGCACATATTTAGAGCTGAAATGGTGAAAATCTAACCATTTAAGAAGCATTCAACACATTTTTTTC